CCCCCCCCCCCCCCCCCCCCATTCTACAGGAAACAGATGAGAAACAGACAGGATGTACGTAGCAACAATGTTTTTAGCCGCTAACTGAGGAATTATGCCGTTCTTTTCGTGAATCTTCGTAAAGGTGAGGTGCTGCTAAGATTTTTGCGGTGAAGCGGTTTGTTGTTCTGGCGTTTGTTTGCTCACAGCTTTGTACTGGTTTCATGGAGAAAAATTCTGAATATATCGCTGGATTCTGTGTCGAATCCTCTTGCTTTTTGGTGTATTGGTCGGCCGTGTAGCCGTTAGCTTTTTGTCAGAGTATCGAAGCGGTGTGCATAGGTCGCCGACTCGTGGCGAAAAATACGTGATATTGTGGTACATCTTCTAGTTGCTTATATTAGTTGTGTATAATTGTGTTTGGAGTGTGTAAAAAATTACTTGCATGATAGTGTTGCCCAGATGTTGCTGTTTAATCTGGTATATAACATGTATACATGCTAAATATTCGCTCTCGATATGTACATTTTTTCGATGGTAAATGCTCTGGGCTCTGAGCCCTAGAGCCCAAGAATTTGGGGGCGTCGTGCATAAAAGTTAATAAAAAAAATTCAGTTCAATTGTATTTGTATAGGCCAATATCACAAAATTGCCTCAGAGGGCTTTACAAGCTGTACATACGACATCCTCTGTCCTTGGACCCTCACATTGGAAAAGTAAAAAGTCCCCCAAAAACTATTTAACAGGGAAAGAAAGAAAGAGGAGGGATCCCTCTATCAGGATGGACAGAAGTGTGATAGATGTTATGTGTACAGAAAGAACATAATAGATTTACAACATAGTTCTATCCATATGACAGAAATCATACATATCAAGAGCACTAAATAGCACAAAAAATAGCATAAATAATAATAGATTGATTGATTACTAATAATAACAGCAGCAGTGGATAAAATACAATGATAAAAAAGCAGTAATATAGTAAATGTGACTTATTATTATTATTATTATTATTATAATAATAATAATAATAATAATAATAATAATAATAGTAGTAGTAGCAGTGGGTGTCAGAAAGGAGGCAGCAGGCAAAACAACTGTCCAGGTGTTTCACCGGTTAAAACTTTTTTCCCACGTCTTTCACAGATGGAAAAAAAAAGAAATTAGTAAGATTATCCTTGTAAAGCCTTTTTTTCACCAGTTTTTAATTCATAAACACGGGAGAATAAACAATTTAGATCAGAATTAGAAAATGGATCACCAGATTTTTTGTGCCTCGATACACACTGTAGTGGCCACATCCGAAAACAACCATAAATCAATGCCAGACTGCCTACTTGCAGGTGCCCACAGTGTTATAAACCAATTCATAAACGATCAAACCAAAAAAACAAGTATACTTAAACAACAACAAAAATAATTAAACAAAACGAATGACTATCAAAAGATAAAGCTATCTTAATACATCGCAAAATCTAACCTCAACAAGCAAACATCGAGAATAATTTACCAATACTACTTGTGAATAAAATAACTAGTACTAACATCATATAAATAGCTCCTACACACATAGTATTGATGTGCCCGGTCCTTCTTGGCAAAGAAGGACCGGGCTTCTTTACTGCCCTCCCAGTTGTTGATGTTTGATTTTGTTTTATGTTTATTTATGTTTTTTTCAAAGGTGTTTTTGTTTTTTTGTGAAGCTCTTTGTGTAATTGGTGAAAACTTGGCAAATTTATATTTGTAAGATTGACAATACTACAATTCTCATTAATCTCTTTTTTCTTTTTTTTTCCTGACACAGGGTTTGAGGTGTACAGTCACCACAAGTGAGTGAATTTTACTCTTCCTTATTCTTACTATTGTCATTTCCTAGTTTATTCTCATTTGTTGAGCACACAAAGTCACCTAACGTTCACACATTTCAGGTTTGGATTCTGAGCGGTTTAAATAATATTGTTCGACACATTTAGTCAACAATATAATCATACTTTATCTTAAAGTTAAATGAGAAAATACATTAAGAAATAAAGATGTGAACGATTGAAAATGAGATGTCCGGTTTCCCAGCTCTCTGACATGCAGCGTGTGTCTGTCTGTATGCAGGTAACTGTATGGACAGTAAATGGCTGGATGTGAATCAGTACACTCCCAGCAGTCCAGAGGGGCTGCAGGTGAGCGTGAACACAAGGCAGGATGAGACAGGACACCTGCACCCTGTGCTGGTCGCTAACTGGAACATAAAGGATGATGGTGAGTCCGTCTGCTGTCTCAGGTATTACATTAAAATTTGCAAGAAGTAGTGGTAGACAAGGAAAAAGTACATTTAATAATTGTTAAATTTCAGATGATGACTTGGGTTTAGCTTCATTTGATGTGATGTAGTGAAGACAGGCAGTGACCTCTGCTATGTCTCTCCTCAGGCAGTATAAGTTACCTGAAAGCCACCGAGCTTCATGTTCTGGTAACGTCCACCAACCAGAACCTGTGTGTCCGATATTCCTTCAAAGACAAACTCTCAATGAGAAGTCCGACGGGGGAAAAGGTGGGTGGCTCACAACAACTCAGATATTTCGTAAAATGATAGTGCCATTATAAATATGTGACCCTTATAATATAATATTCTATATTGGTATACAGAAAGGGAGCAAATATTTCATACTATTGTATGATTTTAAGATCAGAGAACTTCTGTGTTTTTTCCCTGAATATGTCCTGCTGGTATTATCACAGTTCATAACATCAGAACTGGACCTGATCTCAGCCACTGTTTTTTCATTGAACAATATAAGCTGCTTATGCCCTTGGCGACAATTGCCATCAGGATTTTGCAAAGAGGTGGAGCTCATTTACATAACGAAACAGTTCATATGTTACTCTATAAGAAACCCATGATGGAAAGCTGAGATGTTTCTTAACACAGTCCTATTCAAGCGTACTTTCCTGAAACTGGATTGGCAATGCTTATTTTAATGTAATTGTAGTGACCCCATTGCCTATCAAACAAAGGCCACCACGGTTGCTAATTGCTTTGTTTAGACACGTGCAAAAAGTATAGACAATTTATGTCTTACAATCGCAGCACTTCCAAAACAAAAAGAGCACAGCCACTTTCCTAACTCATAGACAAAATAAATCATAACATTCATCTTCATTCATTATCGCACAGTCAAAAACTGTTCGCTTCTGCCCAGTCAGCAACACCTGCATCAAGTAACCCTCCTAATTATAGTAACCTCTTACATAATTGACAGCGGCACTACGCCCCCCAACAAAACAAAAGAATAACAAATTGGCACTTACAGAAATAATGATAATAAACTTCAATTTTATAAGCCTCAAATTCGGCAATTTGGCCGTCGCCATCTTGGATTTTGGCCATTGTCATCTTGGCTTTTTGCAACCACTGAACGGAAGTGACATATTAGGACTGCTATGGAGAGACGCCGTATACGGCTCTGGCCCTAAAGGATACCTTGCTTTCTAGAGTCTATTTGACTCTAAATGGACCATAATTTACTAAATGAACATCATGCTGTATTGAAGAAGACTTGAAACTAGAGATTGAGAACATAAACTCATGTTTACAATCTTCACTGAGGTAATAAATCAAGTAAGAAGTAGTGTAATTTTCTATACACTTGGACTTCTTTTTGGAACCACAGAAGTTGCCCCCTGCTGGTCGTGGAGAGAGTGCAAGTTTAAGACATTTCGCTTTGGCTTCAGTAGTCAGAACTGGAAGTGTCCGTCTGGTTATTGCTAGCGCCCCCAATCGGCTGGTTAAGAGTAGTTAGTGAGGAGTAGGCAGGCAGTGAGAGTATAAAACGGGTAATAAAAGGTGTTTTTAGAAAGTGTGAGTCACCGCCTTGAGCATGCAGCCATAACTGGGCACCCAAAATATTGTGCAGTTTAGTGCAGGTCAATATAAAATGCAGACGATCAAGACCAGAGAAATAAAACCCTGTTGCATAGCTCCACGTAGAGCTTAGCGACACAGTTTGTATTTGGTCAAATCAGTCAACAAAGTTTCTAACGGACAATATTGTTTTGCTCTTTCAGTGGTCGTTCTCAGCTAACACGCTCGTGGTGGACCCTGGTCAGACATACCGGGTCTCTGTCTTCAACATCCCCAAAACAGAGCTGAACCACAGCGGCTACGACGTCAGCACTGATGTCAACGTCCCTGGTGAGTTAAAACCAAAAGAGTTTATATATTTGTCTGTTCATGCTTATGTTTTATTTTATTAAATGTATTAACACAAATGTGTAAAGTCAAATTTATCTCACTCCAGTTTTCATATTTGTTAGTTTTCAACACGTGTTATTAATCTGTGCGTTAGTGTGTTAGTTTGGAGCCTAAGTAAAATGGTTAACTGGAATATACAGGATTATGTATATATGTATTATGTACAGTGTGTATATATATATACAGATCTGGGGTCTCATTTATAAAACAGAGTGTAGGATTCACACTAAATGTTTGCATACGTTCAAAGGAGGAACGTACGTTTTTGCAAATGCACGTACGCCAAAACATATTCAGATTTATAAAACCTTCCTGCCAGTGAGACATTTCCTTTTATAAATCCCAAATCAACCTGTAAATGTGAGCAGCTGGTTCAGCTTCACATGCCGCCCACTACACACCCACATTAAACAATAAATGGTCAAAGCAAAGCAACTTATGAATGTTGATGCATAGAAATGAGCTGCTGATCCGCAGTGGCTCTTTACGGTGAATCATGGAGACTACCGAGAGGAAAAACACTCGTTCACTCCCAATTCTGCCATTTGCACAGTCTTAATGGTGCCAGATGTAATGTTTCTGTAGTGTAGTTATACACCAGACGAACAACAACTTGATGAACAGCAACAGGCTTTTATTCCGAGGCTCGTACACACACTGTTAACGCTGGCTAAATGTATATCTTGTACAGTATATCTTTCAGGCCCTGTTTTGTGTGTACGCAACGGTTATAAATGAGACTCCTGATATCTGCAAACAAAAGATTACAGTGTGATGACTCGTACAACTCTTTCCCAATTTCCTAAACTCAAAACAGCGCCTAGTTTGTGAAATAAAGCAAACTAGGTGCATCCAGTGTCGTTTTCACTTTGCAGAACTCTTAGTCTTCCTGACTTGAATTTGATGAAATTCTCTGATTTACACAGATTGTCCAGATCCCAAAATGCAGATGACCGAGTTTTGCATAGAGAGAGGTGAGTCCCTGACATTCTAAAGCCCAGTAAGAGTGGGTAATTTACAGAGACCACTTCTAACACGCTGCCTTGTTGCTGTACTGTAGGAAGTCTGTGGCAGCCTAACATCAGTCTGACTAAGATCACTGCAGTCCGTGGAAGATCCGCTCTGGCTGTCAGCTTCACTCCCGACACTCTCTGTGAGGAATACATTGTTATTGTTAGCTGCTCCACTACCCAACATGTAGGCCGCACATACAAGGTGAGGTCACATTATGCTGGATATTTTTCAGCAGTAGGCTGTCTCACATAGAAGATGAATGCATTTTTTTAAACTCTCTTCTCCAGGCCAATCAGAAGACCCTGAATGTAACGTTCAGCCTGGATAAATGGCCAAGATTTTGCTGCCAGTTTGATGCTGAGGTAAAATATTTTGCTGAGTGATGTTAGTGTACTACTATTTTTGTTTTTCGAGATGGCAATAACTCTACATTCTCTATGATGACATTTGTTGACATTACTTCATTCTTCGCTTCAGATCAAACCTCTTTTCCCACAATGTGGCCAGGAATGTGCCCGTCGAAAGAGAACTCTGGATTTTTGTCCTGGTATGTTGGCTCCTAGCCATGATTTTGATATTCATTCATATCTTTAAGCACCTGGCTTTTTTCTGGCCACTTCCATAAAGCCCAGCTCTGTGCCAGATACTGTTGAGCTTTACAGTTCTGTCAGGGTTATCTTTGGTCTCTTTGTTGCCTCTCTGATTAACGTCCTCCTTGCTTGCCGTGAATTTTTGTCCTCTCTTGGCAGATGGGTTGTGGTGCCATATTCTTTCCATTTTGTAATAATGGTGCTCCGCTAGATCATGTGACAGATCATGTAACACTTTGACTCCATAACACTCCATAAATGGACTTTTTTAAACTAGTTGTGTGACTTCTGAAGGTAATTGGTGGCACCGGATCTTATTGACGGGCTTCATAGCAAAGAGGGTGAATACATAATGCACACACCAATTTAATTTTTTTTTACTTCTTTAAACAAGTTTTTTTTTTTCATATCACCTCACCAATTTTGACTTATTTTGTGTAGGTCCATTTCATACAGCCCAAATATAAAAAAATTATAGTAAAACATTTTAATTGATAATTGTGCTCTCATAGTGTCTTCTTCCATTTTGCGCATGGGTGAACATACTGCAAGGCACAGTAAGTCTTTATTGATCCCAGTGAGGAAATTTTGTTTTTTCAGCAACAAGGAAAACAGGACAAAATAAGTACAGATTAATACAAATCTCCTAACAAATTAGAAACGTAGCCAGACCTGTTTAACAGCATTTGGCCATGTGAGTGAAAATAGTGGGAGCTCCACCTGTACTGCAAACTGCTCTCGACATTTCTCAAATTCCTACTTCCTCGCCATTCTGTGCTCACTGCTGAACCATACCGATCTGTGAACTTGGCAATAAGGTCTTGAGTCAGGAAAGATGAGCGCCGATAGACAGACTCTCCCTACATCAAGACACCATGTTTTTATATTAAGCTTGTACAGCTGCTATTCAGTTTACGTCATGAAAACAGGTAAATACCTGTTAATGGAATATTTTGTTTTCTGTAGATTTCTAATACCAACGCCTACTTCTGCTTTGCACACATTAAGCCCAATGGCATGTGATCCATCAGTCACTTTTAAGGGCACAATGGCTCCTTTCCGAAAATAATTCCTTACTTTTTCTCTAAAAAGGACTAAAACAACACCCTATGGGAAATGCTAATTAGTGAACTGTGTTCTGATTTCCACAGCAAAGCCAATAGATGCCCCTGATGTCCCCGTGTACACATTTGTCGTCCTGGGAGTGGTATTTATGTGTGTTGTGATGGCAGTTGTTATGTACGTCCTATGCCGGAAGCAAGGTTAGTCGCAATACATATTAAGTTTTATAGTTATAGCAAATAGTTGTTTGCTGCTCTATCAATTATCTGAATGTTTGCATATAGCACCTTCAAAATGACTCTTAATTTGCTTATGGCATTCATCTGTGCTCTCATGCACTTTCAGGCAAACCTGGTGTTACTGCAGCACCTGTGGTAGGTGAAATACCGTGGGAGCAGCAACTTAAACAGCCTCCCAAAGTGCTGGTCATCTACTCTCAGGACCACCGCCTTTACAGGGATGTAGTGCTAAAGCTCTGCGCCTTCCTTCAGGCCAAGTGTGGCACCAATGTGCTTGTGGACCTGTTAGATTCCACCTCAGTCAGCATGGTGGGGCGCCTTCGCTGGCTTGAGTGGCAACGACAACAGCTCAAAAATCCCTCTGACAAAATCCTGGTGCTGTGCTCGCAAGGCGTCCAGGCAAAGTGGAGGGCCATGTGCGGTCAAGGCCGGGTGACTCTGAGGGAAGACGTTCTCTCCCCTACTGACGACATGCTCACTCCCTTTCTCAACCTCTTCCTACCAGACATGCACCAGGCCGGCATGCTGGGCAAGTACATGGTGGCTTACTTTGATGACATCAGCAGGGAACAAGACGTGCCATCAGTTTTTGACATCGCAGTCAAATACAAGCTGATGAAGCATTTCGAAGAGTTGTACTTCCGCATCCTAGACATTGAGAAGTATCAGCCAGGTCAGGTCAACCACATCAAGGGCATTGGTGGGGATGAATATTTCGACTGTCCATCAGGTAGAGCCCTGAAGAATGCCATCGAAGCCTTCCAGGCCTACCAGTTGGAAAATCCTGACTGGTTCGAGAAGGAGTGTGTGAACGATGAGGAGGAGGTCATGACTGAGGCTAACCGACTCTTAGACCAACTACAGATCCCTCCAGTCCTAGAGTGTGTTCCTCTAATCAGAGATGGACTTCCTGTCTACATCCATGAGGTAGAAATCAATGAAAATGACAGTCTTCTCGTGCTTACACCTGAACTCAACCCAGAGCGCGAACAGTCATCAGTGGCAGAACTTACACCAGTAGTCAACCCTAAGCACAAACATCAGTATCTGTCAAACCCGGATGAGGTGTTGACGGATGATGTGCATCCTCACTGCCCCAGGCTAGAATCTGTCTACATGGTTGAGCCTGTTTTAAACAACCTGCGACCACCAAGACAGAACTGGCTATTCCTCCAGGCAGAACCCTTCAGTCAAATTCCCACAGAGGATGAGGAAGAGGAAGAGCTACCGAAAGGCCAATTCTCTGCTCGTTCGGAGAAGACAAACTCTGCCCCACAGGACTCCCTGAACTTAAAACCTCAAGAATTATCTTGTACCAGCATGCAGAGGGAATACTTCCATCAATCCGAAACCTGCCACTCTCAGCCTGCAGAGATGGAGGAGGTTCTAGGGCCCAGTGGAAAGGGTCCAAGCAGTGGATCTGATCAAGGGTACATCTCCAAAATGTCCTCCCAGCATGAACGCCCTGTCAAAGAGGATCCGCTGGTGGCTCTGAGAAGACTGCAGGAGAAGCTGTTTCAGAAGAATCTCGGATAACCTCCACTGACTTTAACCTATGTCACCTGTGTGATCATAATGAGTGCCTGAATGTAGGAGGGTGTAAGAGCCCAAAACACAAAGGTGTTTCTGTGGCCAGTAAAGGGTGAGGCTCCAATATTAGTTGATGATTTTCTGGATATAATAACTCCTATATTATTTTTGTATTATTGTTATTTGATCAAAACAAATGAAGACAAATCAACATGATCATAAAACAAAAACGCAATGACTTTACATGAATATTGTTCATGTCAAAAACAGTTGTTTGTTTGGGTGTTGCACCCGGTAGATATGTACAGGAAAATGATGTTGGACTTCTTAAATGGAGGAAGAAATGATGGAGACATTTGCATCAGCACCTATTGAGCATTAGAGGAACTGCAGCTGAACTCAGACAGGAGGTTGCAAAGCACCAACTGCACAGATCCTCTGGGGCCCGAAAGCTCCAGGTTCACAAATTGGCAGTAACTTGAAACACATTCTGAACTGATTAGAGACATGGATTCTCACACGCTCTTGAGGCCCCATCTTGTAGGGGGGCCCTGATAAAATCTCGTGGACGTCTAGTTTTAAAGGTGCGGGGCGGCTCTGGAGACGGACCTTAAGTTAACTACCATCTTGAATTCAGCCAGCACTAACTCCAGAGCCAGAGTTCTGATCCTGGTGGACTGCCCCAACACCCCGCCTAGTTAACATCTTTCTATTCCTGCTGTCACACAGGTTAGACCTAGCGCTCCACGCTGTGACTCCTGGCGCTGTGGTTTGTGCTCACTACCGCCTCTCTAGGTACAAGTGGTATTGCAGGACGTGCCGGGGCTAGGTGGTTAGCATGCTCATTTCAGTAGATATCTCTTCAAAACAGTACATGGATATCATTGAAGACTTTTACTTCCTAACATTCTGTGGACAATGTGAGTTCATTTGTTGAATGTTTTAAACTGAAAATATTTGAATTCTTACTGTTTTGATTTTGTTTCTGCAGTTAAACTGCATTGAAGGAAATATGTGATGTGTGTGCTGCCTTCAACAATTGTCCTTTTATCCATGGGAGAAAGGTCAAATATCCTGGAATATTGTAAATAATATTTTTTTATCAGTGTGTTTGTGTTAGGATTACACTTTCTTGATAATGAAGTTCTTTAATGTCTCTTACAGCACTTATCTTTGGGTCAGGGTCAGTGATTTTCCTCTGTTATAAAGAAATCCCCCAAAAATATTAAATGACTTTTAAAACTTTGTACAGTAGTTTCCTCAGATTTATTTCAGGTTTTAACCACATAATCGGTTTTACATCTACAGTACATAGATTGGATTATATCAGTACCACACGACTTTACAGCACAGGTGAAATCCGATCTGTAAACAACAGCAATGTTCTTTCCCTGTAAACAAGTTTGAAGAAAAAGAAAGCCTGTATAATGAAAGACAAGTGTTCAGATTGCACACATTGTGTTTTTCTTTGCACGTAGGCTAAACATTTGAATCTGTGTTGCATGATTGGCTCCTTTTGAATATTCATGTCCATGAAAGCCTTTGGTAGTTTCAGTGTCACTGTGCTTGTTCATGCAGGTTAAAGGCCTACTACACTTCAGTTTAAATTCAATGTCAAGAAATGCCCCAGCTTTTGAGTTGACTGTGTGGTAAGCTTCTTGTGCAAATCCAAATACACATTGTTAGAGCCTTTTCAACAGTGTAGGTACCTCCTATATGTATCTTACATATGCAACGATTTAGCAGATTACTGGCATGCGGAAATAATACAAAATAGTATAAAATATAACATTTTAAATACTTTGGCAATATATGATAAGCATTTAAAATGCTGCTCTCAGTGCAACATGAGAAACAAAGCCAGGAGAAGCACTGAAGCAGTGATGTATTTTGTGTACAGCAGGACTCCACAGAGAGGTCACTCTTCAGGGTCAACTTCATAAGAGCAGCCTGGTGTCTGCAACGGGAATATCCAACAAATATCTATTCATTCAACTTTTTTATTGCATTATTGAGAGTGACAATTTGTTCTGGAGATTGTGAATAGTATTTTGACACAAATAATCTCAACATCACTTTCAACCACATCTCATGGTCTAGATCAGCAGATAGTCTTTGCCATATTGTTGTCATTAACATGTTATATAAGTATGGAGCTTTCACATTCAAGTAGTTTGCGTATGGGTGGAAAACCTATTTAAACTTGATTTATACTGAGCTTTTTCTCCTTGTTGGTTCTGACATTGTGTTCGTCAGCAGCCATTAACCATTAGAGCAGAGTTTGCCCAGCAAGTCTCACTTTGCATGTTTGACCCTTGTTACCTGCAAGTCTTGTGCCCATAAATTGGATGCCAGTGATTCTGGCCATTTTCTAAGCAAACAGCATGTTTTGCAGTTGCTTTTCTCCAGGGAGTCACTGGGATCAGTTAATTTCAATGCAGCATAAAAATCACCTGCAGAGACCTGAAAGTTACTTCATAGGTCATCTTCCACCTTGAACGTCATATGAACGTTGAGCTTAGTTAAGTACCAAGAACAAACCAGGAAAACCAGACCAAAAGTATGTGGGCAGTACACATACTATTGGCCACATGGTATACAGTGCAGACTTGTCAAATCAATCTGTACTTAAACAGACATTAAGCGTAAGTATAATTTGACAAACAAAAGACATGATGGTCACTGTGGTGGTTTAGTGGGGATAAAATTCAATTTCAAAGTTGTATTAAAATGATGGGAAACTAGTAGCTTCCTGGGAGGTAGGCAGACATGTAAAACATTACACAAAATAGTAGCAATAATGTAAACAGGTGTGTGATTTGCAGTAAATGGGCATAAACTTGACAAAACTCTGTGTATTGTCCTTTATGGTGGACTTTCCTTCTCATCAGTCTTGAGCCCTCAGCAGTCCTACGCTACGCTGTTCACAAGGCACAACATCTGAACCTCTAAACACTGATCACTAGTAGCAAACAAAGCTGGCAAATTGCACACCTCAATAAATTGAGTTAATTCAGCTCCAAAATAATAGGCACTAAAATCCATTCAGACCCCTCTGATCTATAATGCACAATGTTTTTACTATACATCTTCTTCATATACTTTGATCTGCCATGTCCATTGTAGGGCTGTTTGTCATGGCACTGTTGGATCTTTATGCATGGTATTGACTTAAACACACACACACACACACACACACACACACACACACGTGTCTACTCTACTCTCAGTACCAGACACAGCATTTAGAACCAGCAGAGATATGCAACACTGTTGTCAATAGAAAACAATTGGGTAAAGGGAGGGGAGGGGAGGGGGGGGGGGGGGGGGGTATAGCAGAGCCCTGGTGAGCCAGAGGATTCTTCAAATGGCACTTTAAGTCCCAACACGACTCAAATTCCAGCTGTTGTCTGTGTCCCTCTGCACACTACCACATCGGTTCAGACTGAACACACATAATTCAACACAAGGTCCAATGCACTACAGTTTGTTCTCCATTTGTTGTAGGCTATTGGAGGAGTTGCATTTGACTGTAGCACCTGTAGACTGATCTGTGGCTGTAAGGATCAGGTGATGCATTCCAGACATGTCCAAAAATTTAAAAATCCATTCTCCTGTTGTGTAAAATGTCTTACTTCCAAGTAGAAACCCCAGAAAGATTAGTTAGCTTCGAGGTTTCAGAGTTGCCCTTATCTCACATCTTTCCAACTCAGCAACATAATCTTATATATATTATTTTATTTTCATGATGTTTTATCCATCATACTCCCAATATATTTGTTGTTTTAACACAGTCGTAGCTCGATTATCAGGCCCCGAAGGCCTCAGGTCTTACAGTCGCAAATACTTTGTAACTCGGTCGAGTTACACAGTGTTGTTTGGTAATATACACCACTTAATGGCAAGGGCCCTAAGGTAGCTCCTGTGATTTTATCCAGTCATGGGGCCCATTTTTTTATAGATGAGCCATATATTCTTCCAAGCTTTGTCTGAGGGTAGGCCCACAGTCTCAGACTTTGAAAAACCCATGTCAGTGGAATCTAACCTGCAGATATTTTCACTGGAATTTTTTTATTTATTCAATATTTTTATTTATCTCTGAGATTTATTTCTTCACCCCTGGGTTGGATTCAGTCTGTGCTCACACAATTCTAAAAGTTCTAAAGCAACATCTCTTTCCACAAATGATGCCCCTGTTACTTTGAAAAATCAAAAGGACACCAGACTGTTTTTTTAGGAACCATTTATTTTTTAGAAAGCCATTCGGATGAAAACTTCCTCCAGCGTGCTCACCATAGTCACAGGGACACTGTTTGTGGGAAGATAGACGTCAATTTAAGTAGTACATGCAATTTGTAGTCCAAGCTATTTATATTAGCCACAATTGTATAAGGTTGAATTACCATCTAGGGTCTGGGCCCCATGGCCTCTCTACACCTATATAGTCATCACTAGAGGTAACTGAGAAAATATGTGTTTTTGCCATTTGGGTAAAGTAACCCTTTACATTTGGATCTGGATAATTAGCTTTAGATTTTCTTTCCAATGTTAATTTAATGTGAAATATAATAACATATTATTTCCTGAATATCATTTCATGTAGGTTTGTGGTGTCTTTTTTTCCCCAAGTCATAATTTATCCAGAGCCACAATCTGGAAGCAGGAGTTGGGTTTTTAATTTGGATTCCAGTTGGATTTTCCCATTTCCTGAGCGTAACTGGAACGCAACACGACTTTTCCACTTTCCCGCCATCACCTCAGACCCTCAGCCCGTGGCCCCCGGCTCTAGGACTGGGTGACTGCCAGGGTGTTGACGTATCCGTGCGGACACATGTCGTTCTCGGACACGCAGTGGGAGAACTGGGCCGGGTTGCTGCTTCCGGTCAGCCTCCGGACCCCCCGCACCGCCACACACTGCTCCACCAGCTCCAGGAACTTAAAGACCAAGAAGAAGATGTTTTTGAACATGAACACCGACACCGGCATCCTGTAGACGAAGACCTGGAAGCACCTGACTACAAGCAGGGGCGCGTTGACCACCAGGCAGGTGGAGAAGCGGGCCCACAGCCACCGGCAGCGCAGCTCCGACGCCGTCAGCTCGTAAAGCCAGATCACCGGCACAGCCAGGGCCACAAAATACACAGAGACGACGGTGTACTTCAGGTACACGGTGGGGATCTCGCTCCTCAGCAGCATCTCCACCAGTGTGAAGCTGTCCAGCAGGTCCAAGCAGGTGCTCATGAAGCAGCTCTGGGAGTGGTGCCCCGTCGCCCCGTTTAAATCCTCGATGATAGAGTTGATGAGGCAGAAGAGCAGGGGCGCGGACAGCAGCATGATGATCTTGAAGCCGGTCACTCCACACGGGACCTTGAGCTCAATCAGGTCCAGGATGGATGTCTCCAGGATGAGCACCACCTTCGGGGTGCAGGCGATAACATATATGAGCCAGGCCAGGTAGGCGTAGGTAAACTCCCCGAGGTTGCAGCCGAAGATGGAGCTCTTCTGGTGGAAGCCGCAGGCCCGCTCCCTCTTGCTCCGCGCGTTCTTCATGAAGAAAATCCCCCAGCCCGAGATCACCACCAGATCCGTGGCGATCCATGAGCACCAGTACAAGTCGGTGAAGATGATGAGGTAGAAGTCCAGAATGCCCCCCTGGAAGACGAGAAGGAGGAAGCAGAGCGCCTTGTACAGCACGCTCCTCTTGGATTTGTGCGCTAGCAGCGGAGCGGTCTGCATGAACTCCCCCGATGACATGATGCAGGCGGCGGCCGCGGCTGAGTAGACCAGTGGCTGGATGCTGCCGCTCTCCTGGATGATGCTACCGCTCGTGGTCTGGGTGTCCCGCCTCCTGCTTAGCTGCCCGGCTTCCGGAGAAGAGGAGACGGGGGAGTCTGGGCAATAGCTCGCTTCGGATCGGAGATAGTCTGCCTTCGGATTGTCGTTCCCAGTTTTTGCAATCATTGTAGTCGTGCGTCGCTTCCCTTTCTCCCTTCTTTCTTCCTTCCTGATGCTCTTAAAGGTGCAAATGCGCAAAGAAAGGCATGGAGTCTGATGGACTGGACTTCAGCTGAATTATTTTCATGTATTTATTATTTCGTTTTTATTATGTGCGATGTGATGTTATCAGAGCTTCTCCTTGCTTTCTTGACATAGCCATGCATGCTTTTAGTGCATGTGAGCATGCAGGATGAATAAGATGTGTTAGTTGCTTTTAAGTGGTAACAGGGGCCTTCTGATTCATTTGACATGCAGTTAACATCCCAGTCAAAATGTTGTTTTAATGTTAACTCAACTCCTGGCATTTGTTCCAGGTGTTTTTCACCACTGTTTTAGAAGAAATAAATAACTGGAGTAACAGGCAAACCATCTTTAAAAGTGACGTTCTTTCTGCGGTGGATCTAATTTATGCTGATTTGAAGTGATTCGTATAGATTTCAAAGTGTAACTGATATATATTTGCAAAAGTAACTGATAAATAGGCTATGAAAATAATCTTTCAAGAGTTAAATTTCAGTTTTCAGATTTAATTTACATGACCTTTATTGATTTGGAAAACGCTTTTGTCCAAAACCTTGTCTTTTTTAAATGATTTAATGGCAACCACATTGACCACGAGTGCTATTTTCTCAAATCTTTTAAAATGGAATTAAATTCCGCCACTGAAATCGCCTCTGGCAATTTCAGGTTCTTCTGTACTTTAGAAAAGGTGCATTCAGAGCGGATCACTGTAATCCAATTAAGGAAAAAAAAAAAGTTGCCAAAATCAAATGTAGAGGTAGAAACGGTATTTCTTACCAAAAAATAACCAAATTTAAGTTTCAGCTTGGAAAAAAAGGTTTTCAATATGTGATTTGAAAGATAAATTCGGATCATATCATAAAAGGGAGACACCATCCTGTGGAACTATTTGGCACTAGTAGCAATCTGGTTGTTATATTATGGGCTGCTCAGTCAACATGCAGCAGAGAATCAAATCAACAATGCCTGAGGTAGACTCCCAGTGGAGTCAGTGAAATGTCGCTAACATAGACAGAGATAAAGAAATTAATAACAATATTGTCCCCACAATGGCTGGAGAAATTTAAACGGTACAGGTTTTCAATTCAGAGAAGCCAGTAAAAAGTAAATTTTCCATAAATTAAGTTTTGCTATTTATACACCCGATAGAAAGAGGTGTACATACTAATGCACCCTACATTGACAATGTGTGAATGCTTGATTAACTGTTTTGAGGCATGTGCAGTGCACTCTGTAGTACAAAGTTTAATAAACTGTTTTTGAAAAGTGTTAATTTGAAAAGAAGAACATACACACAAACATACATGGTAAATGTACTTGTATACCACTCAAAGCTCACACTACATGTTGTGCCGCCGATCTTCTGATACCACTGAGCCACATGCAGTCGCCGTATTCAAATTGGCACTCAAATAGTGCAACAGATTATAAAACTCACGGTTCGGATCGTATCACAAATCAGATCACAGATCGGATAAGCACAAAAGAAAAAGGGGAGCAAATACAACTTTTAGAGATCCTTGATCACGTACATATCTCGTATATGTATATCGCATTGCATTCACTACATCATTCAACATATAATCACACACAGTAACCGTGTATATTTTCTACGATAATTTACACACTGATGGCTATCAGGTCGTGACTTACAGACAAGACAACAGACAAAAGTATTTAGACTAAACAGTCTAAAGTTGATAAACTTTAATTTCAAGTTAAGATGGATGGCTGTGGAACATAGAAAACACACATTTCAATATAAACATATGCATTCAAATGGAGTTTAACAGGTTGAGACCAGCTATCAGGAGTCAGTGGATGAGCGTCTCAGCAGCAAAGAAAGAGCAGCGAATCTACCGTACACTTCACACTGGTGTTGTGGGGAATGGAAAGTCTCTCACCTCCGTGATTCTCTGCACTGCTGAAGAGTTATTAGAGTTGACTCATTATAGCCTGGTTCTGAGGAAGGACTTGGTACCTAGATGCTCAGCAAATTTTAAATGAAGTTCTTTATTTTGTCTATTTGACCGCTGTATGGAGCCAATTGGCCCATACTTTAGTTGGATCACAGAAAAACAAAAGTATTTTGAAAACCCAATATAAAATTTCACAATAAATTCATTATTCATTGTAAGGGCAGAAGATTTCGTAGACTAGTCCGTGTGTGAGGAGAAAGAGAGAGGAGGAAGGTGAGGGCCACTTAGCAGGTCTTCCCCTAGCCCAGATCCATATATAATGTGTTACTGAAGAACGAGACCGCTTCACTGTCCAGCCGGAAGATATGTAAAGGAGAGTACAATTCTGTGTAGTATAGCTTCCAGCCACAAGTGGCAGAATTGAGCAGCTCAAATTTTGTGGACTCAAATCTGTGTGCTTGAGTAATTTTCCACTGAAAAAGAAAAGATTTCTTACATCTCTTCCATAACTTATCTTATGTCACTAAAATGTCTGAGTATTCTATTCAGGATAAGGGCCCGGGGTCACCCTGCTTTAAACAGCCACAAACCTTACAAGAGTTCCAATGTCTGGGCTTTGATGGACAGTGTTTCATTATAATCTAAATGCCTCATAACAGACTTTTTCACCTTGGAAAAAAGGGACACAGTAAATACTTTTCAGTACAACATGATCATGGTGAATGTATTTAACATCAGCACAATATATTGGCTATCAGCAGCTTTAATAAAGAAAAAAAAAAAAAAGCATATGTAAAATCTTACAACATGCCCATCACGATTACAGTAAATGGTGCCGAGTAAGTAAGAGTGCATCCTCAGAGTCTCAGAAGTACATATTAACACCTGGGTAGATGATTAACAAGTCAAACCCACACCCACAAATAAACTTGACAATGTTTATTAGCAATATTTGAAGAAAGTTATAATTTGTTGAATCTTATATCGAGTTCTTTTTGTCATTTTTTTCCTTTTAACATGAATTGCACAAGATAGACCCACGAGGATAGATGTCTAGAAAATGTTTAGCACGAGCACTTGTTGGACTTTTTTTTTTTTTTTTTTCTTTTAAAAGTTCATTTATTAATGGCCTGCTATAAAGCACTGCCACAATACAGGGGGTGGGGAAAAAGCTACTGTCCATCACTCGCACAAGACAGTCCATTCTAGTGTCTAGTACACGGGGGGGGGGGGCTGCTATAGGTAAATCTCATAGAAATCGTCCAGCTCCTCGTGAAACAAGTCCCATTCGTCCTCTGAATCCGTCACCTCATCGTCTGTTCCTGCGGCGAGGAGCATGAGGAGCATCTCGCTCAGCTCAAACGTCACCATCTCCTCGTCCTCGTTGTCAAAGGAGTCGGTGCTTTCCCGTTCGTCGAAGATGTCCCACAGCGGCGTTCGTCTTGAGTTCTGAGAGGAAGAGGGAAAGAGTTTTATTCTCAAAGAAGAATGTATTCTGAGGACAATAATAGTTTGGAAAGTATAGAAGCACATTTCTTCAAGAAAAAAAAAAGTAAGAGGAAATGTTAGGAATGACAAAAATGATGCTACTCAAAATTATAATACCAATTTCAGACTCAAAAGGTTCAGTGTGTAGGATTTAGTGGCATCTAGACGTGAGGTTGCAGATTGCAAACCAACTGAATACCGCTTCGCTCACTCCTGCCTTCCAAGACTGTAGTAATGTGAGCCGCAGAAAGCAAAAACATGGTTATGTTAGCCTTACCATGGTTTTGCATGCTGTGGCTGATATTTACCAAATTTGTCAGAGTAGTACAGTGGCCTTCAGGTAGCGTAAATACGTGAAAAAGCTCCCTCTAATGGTTTGTCCATTCTAGGCTACTGTAGAAACATGGCGGTGCAACACAGCAGACTCCGTTAAGAGGACTCGCTCCCTATGTAGATATGAAGGTCTCATCTCTAAGCAAACGAAAATATCTTTCTTAGTTTCAAACGCTTATACACTAATGAAAACATAGCTATGAGTACTATATTCCATTTCAGCAAATAGATCCCCCCCCCAATCCTAACTTTGCCCTTTTAATAAGTCAAAATCGTAATATAAATCAAATTCTTCTAATAATCAAAATAATGCTTTACTTTCTCATTGTTTTCCATTAAGACACTGAAAAAAGTTTTTTTGTTTGATTTAATTCACCAACTCAACATTTTTATTTACTAGCTCATAATTTTGATAATCTCATAATCTAGATTTAAATATCACAAAATATTGACCACGTAAATCAATATTTTTATTCAGTATTTCATCATTTTGACATAGTTAACTTTCTGTCACTAATGGATTTTATATCCAAATCACTCTGCCACACTTGGGATGGGCAATTGTCAAAACTATTTTGGCCTCGGAAATTCAATGATAAAAATGAAGAAAAAAAAAGTACAATGGACATGATAGCATTTAAACTGATTTCATTGATGAGGGGATATATTCAAAGTTACTACGAGGAAATGTAATGTTGTGATGATAAGTATTGTTTCCAAGCACCAGAAAACTAGTTCTGGTTCTCTGCTGCCCCCCTTCCCTTCACGCCAGCAGTATGGCGTGGTTCTCCAGCCGCAGAGACGGCTCCCAGTGGGGGCCGGCGGAACAGTGAGGCGAGGCTCCTGGTCGGAGTAGCCTCTGCTGCCGGGTGCAGAGCTCTCCACCTCGCACTGGAGCTCTAGCTGGTCTAAGGCGGCAACAAGTTGGATCTGGGTCTGTCCGAGGTGGGCTGGTCGCTGTCGTCGGCCCGGCTCCAATTGGAGCTGAGGGAGTTTCTGGTGAACCTGAATGATTTTTGTCGGATTTTGCTAGAATCGGACCCTGTGGCACCGATGACAAGCATTAAGAATAACTATATAGAATTAGCAAATCTACTTGTTGAAGGTCTTGTTTACTTATGTAGGTCATGAGAGGTAAATAAATAAATAAAAATACATTTTTTATTTGAGAAACTTCCATCATGCATCACAAGACAAATGATGCAAATGAAGTTCACCATTTCTCAGTTCATTTTGTTGAACTGGATAACACTGTATTAATAGGTGTTCCCGAGTCAAAAGTATTTACTCTACAAAAGCCACATTGAACCTTTTAAGTAAGTTTAAATATTGCAGGTCACATATTCTTACACTTTCTATTTTCCACATCCAGCAGAGGGCACTATAGGTGAGACGGTGTTGCTGTCAGTTGCTTTTGACAAACAGTGACAATCTTGGTAGCACTTCAGTATTTTTATGAGTACTTGCCAATGACAGGATTTGAGGAGGTAGTGTGATCTCTTACCCGATTCCTGCTGTTGGATCCGGTCTGTCTTCGCTGGGGTTGCGCTTCCTCCAGCCGTCCATCAGGAAAGACGTGCTTATAGAAGCAATTTGAGCCAAAAGGACACGTTCCACGACCCTCGTCAAAGTATCGACACAGTTTACTCCTGGAGAAGACAAAAGGAGCAAAAGTACAGCAAGTTCAAAGTGTCTCAGTGATTCAGAGCACAAAAGCACACCAGAGGCATCAAACAACACTATCGATCTTTGGAAGATAGATGTTTTCTCAGTGGAGCTTTTTAAATGAACACAGAATTTTCTTTTACACACTGGATCATCCGCCCACTCCCGCAGAATCACCATCCAAGATTGAAAATAAGCCGGACTGAAAAGATTAAATGCCTTTAAAAAAAAGAAACAAAAACTCAGCTTAACCATTAGTGAAAACTAAAGAAGCAGAAAAACAGATTGTGTCCCTGTGTCTTTGACCAGCTGGTAGAAATAAGGCAGAAATAAGTCCAGCAGAGATGCAGCTTTTAAGCAAGTTTTTCCTCAGCATAGGAAATGATCTGTGTACCCCATGCCATCCTTGTATTTCTGGATGAGTTTCTGCTTGTCCTCCTTATCCTCCACCCAGTACTCGCTTGGGATGACAAAGTTGGATGTGATCCGACACTCTGGGCAAGACCTGCGAAGAAAAAAAAAAAAAACAAGTGGTGGAAACAGTCCTTGTACATTGTAGTCGGTTACAAGTACTGTTGAAGATTAGTTGTGTGGTCACTGTGGCCTGTGTGGCATCATGACCAGAACATTTAATTAAGAACACAACCTGTCAACCTTATTGTATGTTATTATCATTAATAACAATGTAAGGGATTCATTTGGACTCAGAGCTCCTGGCCACCTCTTTTGTCAGACCCTTTTCTTTTTGAGCTTGGAGAAGGACGTGGCATTTGAAATTGTGTACACTAGAGCTACAAACATTCCCACAGTGAATTTTTTCATTGGTTCACAAATGCTTATATACAACGACAGGCTTGGAAATTATTTCTGGTCATGCATTCACAAAATAAAAATCTTACCGATCCGTATTTGAGCCTTAAATGTATCTCAGTGAGAGGTAAATTTTACATTTTTAAAAAGGATTGTGTATTCAAGTAAACAATCCATACCCTTCTTTCAGATACTCTGGTGTCATTACTTGTTCAAACTGCTAATCATATCTCACATTCCAGATTGGCTTATCTCGCATGCAGCGCTGTCTTTAACATTATTTCTGTCAAGATGGGATGCCTGGAAGTATTGCATTTGTCTTCATTTCACATCGGTTCTCCACTAAAAATGAAAGAAATGAGCTTTAACTAAGGTCATCTCAGTAAGTTCCTGCACAGACGTTTAGGGAATTGGCTTTATAAATAGGAATAAAATATAAAATAAATGAAAAGTCCTTACTGGTTTTCATTATAAGGCCTGTCCATTGCCAAATTCTATAACTGAAATATCATCAGCTCAATACAGCTAACTGTTAGATAACAGTAATGAAATTATTGACAATAGTTTAATCAATGGCAATACTGAAGAGTTGAGTTTTGTTTTCTATATTTTTTGTCTTATGCTGTGTTCACACCAAACGCGATGCAAATTTTTCTCATGACTAGATTACATACAAAGTCAATGCAAAGACGCGAATGGAGGCGAGTAAATGCAAAATTGCGCTATTTACATATGTCGTAATTATTCAACTGGTGAGAAATCCTTGTTACACTGTGTCGCTAAAGCCTACAGTTGAGATTCTCCTCCAGTCATCACTGAGGTGCTGCTGTTGTTGAATCAGAAACTGTGGAGGAAAAAATTATTGTAGCCGTAGGTGTTCACCCAGAGCTCTACGATGCCTGATATTAGTAGAGACCAGACGAAACCATGTGTATAAATGTATGTGTGTAAACCATGTGGTACAAACAATAGCGACGCTGCCGTATTTACGCCTAGATGTCATTATATTGAGTGTTGATGGAATGGAGCTGCTACAATGTTAGCAAAGCCTAGCTACATCGATCCGAGCTCCATTGAGAAAACAAGTATTTTAAAATGATTTGCTTGTCGTCTTTCGGAGAGAACAAACAAAACATGAATTCAGACTTTTTTCAAATTGGCATTATTATGTTGTTATTTTGGCATCCCTTTTTGTCCGTTTATTGTTAAATCATAGCAAAATTGTCTATTTTGGGTTGATACAGTTGTAGTAAACCAGCCGACGTGTGGTTTGCTAGATACAGTAATACTCTTCGATGAAATCCACGGAGCACCTCAGGATGATGTTATGAACCCAGACAAGACAGCTTTTAGTTTCCCAAGATATCTGGAACTTCCACAACATGTACAAAGCAGCAATAGTGGTCATTTCTTCCATGGTTGATGCCGGAAAAAAATGGCTTGGGTGATAATGGTTTCCATGGAGATAAGCCACTCCTCCGGCGCGTCTAGTGCGAATGAGGCAAATAAACACAAATGATCCCACGAGTAAAAGCGAATTTGTGCGTCGCGTTTGGTGTGAACGCAGCATTATTAAGCTTCTCAGTTGTGTGGATGTTCCCTTTCTGTCAACAAGCTGTAGATTAAAAAAAGTTGTCTGATATATGTGACCACAGGGTATTTAGTCATTCGTTTTGATGTTATAATCTCATAAAGATTAAAACATTTGACAATCTCCTGAGAAAATCTACCAGAGATACAGATTTAAGTCATTTAACATATACAAGGATGGAACCAACAGCCACTTCCAAAACCCTATCTTGCCATGTGTTAGTGACTCACTTGATGATTTTGCTCTCAAACTGCTTGGCACTCCTCCACTTGCGAATACACTTTAGACAGTAGCAGTGGCTGCAGTTGGAGAGGATGCCAAAACGGCGCTCGCTTGGGTTGGCCTTCTCAAACACCACTTCCATACACACACCACACATCATGTCTTTGCTGCGTTGGATGGCAAATGAAATCTCCATGTCCTTCTCATGGGCCTCGATGCATGCCTAGGAGAGGGAAGAGTTAAACCAACACACCACAACCTTTTTCTCCAGGGATCCATTAAACTGTGGTCCTTACCTAATGTAGCAGAATAACTGCAGTATCTACCAGCTGAGAGATTACCAAGGTATTCACTAGTGTCTAATGTGAAATTCCTGAGCTGTGGTCGACAAGAGTAGCAGCCACTCATTGATTTAAAATGAGACCACTGTACTGGAGCAGCTGTGGTCCTGGCTCAAGTTTTGCTCCAATTCAACGCAATGTCCTCCATTAACGGAGTGCAATGGCTAATCAAATACGTGCAAGCTCTCATTCCCAGTACATGAATTTGTAATGGGAAATCTCCAGACGTTAAGCTATTATAAATTGCTGTGTTTTATAAACCCTTCAAACTGAGGGATGTATTACTCAAACTGGACTTCCTTGATCATATTTCATTGTCTCACCTGATGGGGCTGACACTTTTTGAAAATGAATCATTCAAACATGGGGGTTTATAGATTAATGCATGTGATGTAGAACCAAAGTTCACAAGCGTGAGTTCCACTTGAACACACTTCTATAGCAACATGTGCTGAGGTTAGCACAGTAATCAGATTGGTGTGCAAGTCAGTCATACTAGGGAGGATGCAAATAAAACGACGGAGCTTAAAGGCCTACGCTACAACATCAGAGAGAAAGTTGTGTGGGACAAGGGCGGTGTGTCAGAATGACTCCTTAAAAATAGGTTTTCAATCCACACAAATATATATCATGTATAAATACGTATAAATCCACACGTAAAAAAAAACATGATACAGAAATAGTTCTTGTTTTAAATAAATGTAATAGAAATCTGCAAATATATGTAGAAACTGATTTGAAATTTCATACTTATATAAAACATTTAGATGATCTTACATTTATATACAAACTGGTGAACCTGCATTTACAAACTGCTTATCATGTGTGAAATCCAATGCATTTGTGTGTTGTTTTTAGACTCCCCTGACGTCACTCTTTTCACAAAAGCATTTTTTTCAACGGGGAATTATTTTTAACCAATCACACTTGTATATAAGGGGTATCATGCACAGGGTGGGAACCTGGGAACAGGGTGGGAAGGAATCTCCTCGAAACAGCCCAGATAGCTAGCGACTGCAAAATAGCCCAAACATCACAAGTGTTGAAACGACAAAACATGAACAGATTAGATCTTATCTGTCCATGTTTTGTCGTTTTAACACTTGTGAAAGAATCCAAACGAAGTGATACAGCAGCATGTTGGAGAAAAGACCATCATCTGGCAAACAGCTATGCTAATGTTAGCCAACGGTCGCTAATGATGGAGAGACAGCCGATGCAATTACTGATAGTGGCAGGCACAGCAGTGGCACAGCCTGTGAAAGTGTTGACATGCTTCGCTCAGCTGGCATTTAACTAATAAATCAAATTTATACACTAGACCTGGGCATTGACGGCCCGCGGGCCAACCTTTGGCTGTCGCCAACCGGCCTGTGGGACGTCAATGGGAAATTAGGAATAAAACGTAAACAAGTGTACATCATGCACGAAATACAGCTGCATTGCTTTTATTTTGAAGGAGACTGTTGCTCTTTTTTTTTTTCACAATTTATGTACATTAGTAATGTGTTGGTGTGTGTTGATGGAAGATCTGAGTAAGCTGTTAGCCCTCAAAAATGTCAGCCCATGTTAAACAAAACAAAGACTGACACGGAGTGTAGAGTTTTTAACAAAACATGGACTTCTAAGTATTTATTTACTGAAGTAAAGCCGTGTGCTTAGTTTGTGGATAATAGATCACAGTGTTTAAGGATTACAATTAGAAATACGATTCTCATTTAGCAGAAACATAATCCGTCAGTGTTCTACTATTATATATGGATATTACTTATGTATATTTTTGGGATCATTATTCCTGCAGATGTTTACGGTGGAGCTCATTTTAACTTCTTTATACTCTGTTCAGTTTGGGTAGTTAGGAAAGGTTTGAAAAATTATAATGTGCAAAGTAACTAAAGCTGCCAGACAAATGTACTGGAGTAAAAGTAGAATATTTCCCTCTGAGATGTAGTGGAAGTACAAAGTTGAATAAAATGGAAATACTTAAGTAAAAATTCAAGGTACTTTACTCAAGTACAGTACTTAAGTAAATATACTTAGTTACATTCCACCACTGATCATAATATTTACTCTTACCACTCACAGCTTATCAAAACCATACAATATACTGCTTTTCATAAAGAGGTGAAATAATGCAGAGCAGGATTGAGTTCAGTCTATTGGTCTGGCCCTCTACAACAGTCCCCGTTTCTCATGTGGCCCCTTGGGAAAAATAATTGCCCCCCCTGCTCTACAGGCTGATCATGTCTGCTCTGACAAAATGGTGAGCTGAGCGAAGTTCGCCAACGCTTTACTGTCATCGTTTGTACACAGCGTAAGCGACCGTTAGTTAACTTTAGCTTAGCTAAAGGTTTGTTTGCCAGGTAATATTTGAATTTGTCAGCTAAATTATTCTGGCATATAGTCACGAATATCACCTGGCAAACAAACGGTAGCTAGTGTTAGTCAGCTGTTACTAATATATCAAACAAATACAGGCTGGTCATGTCTTCTCTGACAAAATAGTTAATTGTAACATTGACACTGCAAGCCAAGGCATTTACTCTTTATGACAACTTTAAGTAAGTAGGTTAGCTAATGTGAAATAGTAACAGACAGGTGCCACCTGTACTCCAACAGCATGGATGTCACCGTCAGTACAGTTGCTGTATCCCTTTGTTTGTATTCTTTTGGGGATCTTTACCATGATCATGAGCGCGCACATGATCTTTCTGCCCACGTTTGTTTGTTTCAACACTGAGCCCAAGACAAATGTTGGACCAAAGCTAAAGATGCTTCCTCCTTTCACTTTTCCTCCCCGTACATAAGAGTATACCCTCGTGGGGGCGCGCTTATGTGATTGGTTAAAAATGAAACTAATCTTAACACTCCTCCTAATGAAAACGTATTTATTAATTTATTTTTATAAATGTACTTATTAAGTTACCAAAGTGAAATAATGTGTGGCGGCTAGAGATGACCTGAGGCGATCCTAACTGGGAACCTCCACTGAAACTGAGACGTGAGCAGCGTTTAATCCCTTTGTTATCTGATCCACAATGACTCCATCTTCCGTCTGTCAGCAGCAGCTCCTGGGGAGCAGAGTCGACATCGGCTCGCTAACCTACCCACAATAGTATGGCTGACATCAGACATATCCTGAACCACAATAGCTTTCATGTTGGCTCCAAGGGAAGAAATCAACCACGTTTGTTTTTATGCATTTTATTTCCCCCGATCACCCTAGTGATAGAGTAGGGGGAGTCTTGATCAATCAATATAGAGACGTTATTCGGTTTAAAAACACTCATATAGTGGGATATTTGTGTGATTTAAAGCAGCTGTCTATGCCCCCCCCCCCCCCCGAGGGAGTCTCCGTCAGACACGCCAAAATGAAAGCGAATCTGTTCCATGAGACATCAAAAACGCTTTCAGTGGAGATTAGCCTTGAGGAATGAAACCGGCTCAAATGCTGATCCCTTTACTATATTCTACTGAGCTTTGTCCACCTCTGCCTACTGGTGTTGCAGGCAGCAAGTGACTCAGCCAAATACACAGCCGCTAAACTCTGACGCTATTGAGTTCATCATCAAATCTAGCAAAGAGGCCCGAAACAAAACATTTAGGTAACAGCTTCTCATTTTAAGCCAGTACTGACCGTTGCTTCCACTGGTTAAAATGACAAACGACATTTAAACCAGTGAAAGCGACAAGTCGCCAGCATATCAGCTGTAACAAATTTGCTTTATTATCCACCTCTAGTAAATCCAAAATATTACAGGAAATATGAGATCGTAAATGCACACCCGGGTATGGTTATTTCTGTAACCCCTACCTTAGTGTGCGCGGAGCGCTGGGCGTTGTCAGTGGGGTGGAGCACCTGGAGGCCGCACATGTCACACACGTCGCCGTGGAGATAGGCACAGTTGATTCCGTAGCGGCACTCTCCAACGGCTGCATACGGACAGAGCTGCTTCCTCAGCTCTTTGTTGTCCTGCGATGCCTCACTGTCAAACTCCTCGATGAGAGGGACAGACCTCTCCGGCTCAGCTGTACATGGAAATATGTTTACATTTATTTCGTGTCACAAAACTAAAACTAATCATGCTGCTACTAATGCCTTCTTTTGTAAATGAGCCCTCAACTTAAGCAACCTTTAAACTTGAACTTAAAGGGTAACTTTTCAGCCCTATTTTCCCATGTTTTTGTACCCGACTGTATAATGGGGACAATCATTTTTTTAAAAAATTGGTCCAGTATAGAGGGAGAATGCTGTAAGCGGCAGCAGTGAAACGAGCTGCGAGAGCAATTACGCAGCACTAATGTAACGCTATGTCCACTATAATGCCTTGTTTTTGCCATTGACAGGCTCCGATTGTTATACGTGTCTGACAGCATTATGTGAAGAACCCTATGGAGAAATATAACTTACATTTCGCTTGATCCCTGCTGTTATTGGTAAACGTCTCGCTCAAGGAGAAGTCTCGTTGTGAAATCTGAATATGGAGCAGCAAACCTCGGTGGTCATAGGGTCACAGCACCCACAGGAACACCAGCAGTCTCCTGAGCTTCCCCCTCCTCTGCCTGTTGCACTTTTAGTGAATGTAAATGACGGTGTCAAATTGTCCCAATATGATCACATTATTTCCAGCATGTTTAGCGGCTGCCGTCTGACTAATAGAGACAGCAATTTCTAAAATTGGTACAGTATGCAGTCAGACACAAAAACGTGTAAATAGGGTCTAGGTCTAAGTTACCTTTCAACAAAATCATATGCTCGGCATTTTCAGACCTCATGACAGTGGATGAACCCGTTAACACACAGTTAACGGGTTCAACTGTGTCATTCACAGCTGTTGCTCAGTTGACTGCTACAGACCAAACAAACCAAAAGAAGCAAAAACATCACCAGGAAGGCAAATAATATCCTTTTCAGGTTGTCATGTTTCACTCTTTTGGCCCACATCAGAGTCTGAATGAAAGAGTTCAGACAAGCCTAAATTAACTAAGCCAAATGGAGAAAAGCGCCAGAGGTTGTTTGAATTGCAACAAAAAAAAGTACGTTAACTCCAAAAGGATCAACTGTCTTCACCAAGTTGAAGAGTATCAGAAATTTGATGGACAAATACTGTTATAAAGGAGACTCCATAAGGAGATTGATTAATTTCCATCACAGCTCTAGGCTACATGTCCACGAAGACCCCAGAAAGTTCAAAATGAAACTGAAGGCTTTCAACTATTATTGTGTGGCGGTTGTGTCGCAATGTCACAATGAGCCAGTGTTGATTTATCACATTTATTACGACAGAGGTATGAAAGACCTTCCCATCAAATGTTTGGGTGCGAGCATCAATATGACACATGACAATGCTAATAACTCACCCCGTCCACAGTACGGCTGTCCTGGAACAAACTCAGTAGCGTTGACCCAGTCTTGTGCCCCTGAACCGGGTGTTGACCCACTGGGTTCTGGGTCTGACGAGCTGGCCAGCGAGACAGAGGGCAGAGGCAGCGTCTGTGGGGTTGGCAACTCCTCGTTCTTCGCTGGTTTACAGTGATCAAACCTGAGGAGGTACACGGGACCAGGATTGTTACAGTTCACATGCAACAACAGCATTAATGCAGGGAAGATAGAACCAGAGCGATGAACGGGAAAATATTCAGCTATAAGGGACGAGCTGAAATACAAACAGTGAAAACCCAAGTTGATAACGCAATCCAGGAATGTAACATTACTGACCCTACTGAGCAGCAAGGGGGCACAAAACAAACATCTACCATCAATAAAAAGTTCATAAGAGTATAAAGAAGTCCTCCTCTGCGAATCGCCACCTTAACGTGGTGGAGGAGTTTGAGTGGCTCAGTGATCCTGGGAGCTATGTTGTCCGGGGCATTAGCCCCTGGTAGGGTCTCCAAAGGCAAACAGGTCTCGGGGGAGAGCCCAGACTAAGAGCGGTTCAAACGACCCTAATGATAAGCAGCCCACGGACTTTAGCCACCTCGCCCGGACCAGGGAAACCGGGGCACCCTCCCGGAGCCAGACCCAGGAGGGGAGCTCTTCGGAGAGCGTCTGGTGGCCGGGCCTTCGCCCATGGGGCCTGGTCGGGCTCAGCCCGAATAAACAGCATGGAGCAGCCACCCTGTGGACCCACCACCTGCAGGGACAAGCGTCGGGGTTGGGTGCAATGCAGACCGGGAGGCGGGTCAGGCGGGAGGCCTGGGCAAGCCGATCACCGGCAGCATAGACTAGCTCTAGGGACGTGGAACGTCACCTCGCTAGCGGGGAAAGGGCCAGAGCTGGTGCAGGAGGTGGAGCGATACCAGCTAGATATAGTTGGACTCACCTCCACACACAGCGCTGGCTCTGGAACCAAGCTCCTGGAGAGAGGTTGGACTTTGTCCTTTTCCGGAGTTGCCCAGGGTGAGAGGCGCCGGGCGGGAGTGGGGATACTCACGACCCCCGGCTGAGCGCCGCTGTGTTGGAGTTCTCCCCGGAGAACGAGAGGGTCGCCTCCATGCGCTTACGGGTTGCGGGGAGCAAGGCTCTGACTGTGGTTTGTGCTTATGCACCAAACAGCAGTTCAGAGTATCCGGCCTTCTTGGAGTCGGTGGGAGGGGTCCTGGAAAGGGCGCCACCTACCGACTCCATAGTTCTCCTGGGGGACTTCAATGCTCACGTGGGCAATGATGGAGAAACCTGGCGGGGGGGTGATTGGGAGGAACGGCTTGCCCGATCTGAACCCGAATGGTGTCTCGTTATTGGACTTCTGTGCTTGCCACGGTTTGGCCATAACGAACACCATGTTCGAACATAAGGTGGCTCATAAGTGTACCTGGTACCAGAACACCTTAGGCCGGAGATCAATGATCGACTTTGTAATCGTATCATTTGATTTGCAGCCGTATGTCTTGGACACTCGGGTGAAGAGAGGCACAGAGCTGTCAACTGATCACCACCTGGTGGTGAGTTGGATCAGATGGCAGGGGAACCGGTTGGAAAGACCCGGCAAGCCCAAACGTGTAGTGAGGGTGAACTGGGAACGTCTGGCGGAGGACCCTGTCCGGGAGGTCTTTAACTCCCACCTCCGGAAGAACTTCTCTCACATCCCGAGGGAGGTTGGGGACATGGAATCCGAATGGACCATGTTCAAAGCCTCTATTGTGGACGCGGCCGCTAGGAGCTGTGGCCGGAAGGTCATCGGTGGCTGTCGTGGCAGCAACCCGAGAACCCGGTGGTGGACACCGGAGGTGAGGGAAGCCGTCAAGCTGAAGAAGAAGACCTTCAAGGCCTGGTTGGCCCAGGGGTCTCCCGAAGCAGCTGACAGGTACCGGCAGGCCAGAAGGGCTGCAGCTGCGGTGGTCGCGAATGCTAAAACTCGGGCATGGGAGGAGTTTGGGGAGGCCATGGAGAAGGTCTTTCGGTTGGCCTCAAGGAGGTTCTGGCAATCCATCCGACGGCTCAGGAAGGGAAAGCAGGGCTTACCCCAGGCTGTTCTCAGCTAGAAAGGAGGCTCCGACCGTTTGTCGAACCTCAGATACAAGAGGAGCAATGCGGATTCCGTCCCGGCCGTGGAACAGTGGACCAGCTCTTTACCCTCGCAAGACTACTGGAGGGGTTCTGGGAGTTTGCCCAACCAGTCTACATATGCTTTGTGGACTTGGAGAAGGCTTTCGACCGGGTCCCTCGGGGGTTCTTGTGGGGGGTGCTGCGGGAGTATGGGGTGCCAGACCCATTACAACGGGCGATCCGGTCTCTGTACGTCTGTAGTAGGAGCTGTGTCCGCATTCTCGGCAATAAGTCAGACACGTTCCCGGTGGGTGTTGGCCTCCGCCAGGGCTGCCTTTTGTCTCCGGTCCTGTTCGTGACTTTCACGGACAGGATATCTAGGCGCAGCCGGGGGGTGGAGAACGTCAGGTTCGGGGGTCTCGGGATCGCCTCTCTGCTGTTTGCAGATGATGTGGTCCTGTTAGCCTCCTCGGATCATGACCTCCAGCATTCACTGGGGCGGTTTGCAGCAGAGTGTGAAGCGGCGGGGATGAGAGTTAGCACCTCCAAATCTGAGGCCATGGTGCTCTGCCGGAAACCGGTGGATTGCTCCCTCCAGGTGGGGACGGAGTGCCTACCTCAAGCGAAGGAGTTCAAGTATCTTGGGGTCTTGTTCACGAGTGAGGGTAAGATGGAGCGGGAGATCGACAGACCGATCGGTGCGGCTGCAGCAGTAAAGCAGGCGCTACCCCGGACCGTCTTGGTGAAGAGGGAGCTGAGCCGGAAGGCAAAGCTCTCAATTTACCACTCTGTCTACATTCCTACCCTCACCTATGGTCACGAACTCTGGGTCAAAAAGGACAAGGTCGCGGTTACAAGCGGCCGAAATGAGCTTCCTCCGTAGGGTGGCCGGGCTCAGCCTTAGAGATAGGGTAAGGAGTTCGGTCATCAGGAGGGAGCTTGGAGTCGAGCCGCTACTCCTTCGCGTCGAAAGGAGTCAGCTGAGGTGGTTCGGGCATCTAATTAGGATGCCTCCTGGACGCCTCCCACTGGAGGTTTTCCAGGCACATCCAACTGGGAAGAGACCCCGGGGAAGACCCAGAACACGCTGGAGGGATTACATCTCCCAGCTGGCCTGGGAACGCCTCGGGATCCCCCAGAATGAGCTGGAACATGTTGCCGGTGAGAGGGAAGTCTGGGTCAGCCTGCTTGGCCTGTTGCCACCGCGACCCGACCCCGGATAAGCGGAGGAAAATGGATGGATAAAGAAGTCAAAAAGTTTTTCAGAAGCAAATAACTCCTTCAAGTCCAAAGTGACTCATTACCAAAAGTAGTTTCCCATTAATCAAGGCTGTTGCCCATATTTAATGCTATGTCTCTGGCTGACACTGTATCTCTATCTCAAGACAGCATTTCTACTACTTGTTACAATTAACCATGGCACTAGGGCTGCCGCTATTAAAGTATTTCAAAGGATTGGCTCAAAAATGCGATGTGCAGTATCAACTCCATTTTTATTGTTGCAAATGAGGTGCAATAAGCCTGGCTTCACACATTCTCTCCATGAAAAAAAGGATTAAGTCTATAGCCAAGGAGCGATATAAATTGTGAAACAAAAGTGAATAATGCAAAAAGGGCTGAATATTTTAAGTGTAAATCAACAGAACACAGTCTAAATTAAGTTTAAAAAAAAAAAATTTAAAAAATAAAAATAAAAAAAATAAAAAGAATAGCCTACATTACCAGGTAATCTGGGTAGAACATAGGGCTGGATTTCTCCTTTGAATGTCGGGAAGTAAATCTGGTCTGGGACTTTGGTCTGTCCACAGATCATCCAGTAATGTGAGGGATGGTAACTGTTCGCAGACCAATCGGGGCCGTCTAGATTCATTTTAAACATGTTTGATATGTCAGAGTTAAACATAGTCAACCAGATACCACTGATCAGCCACTGCACCTGTGTTTGTACAGGCAAACTGACGTTACAGACCTAGAGGATGGTGTTGGGAATAACATAGCCTGACATGGGTTATCAGCAATATGTTGGGAACGTAAAGGAGCATGTTTGGGTTATCAGCATCTAAGAAACTAAATTCTTGACATCAATACAATTATGCAACAATTATTGATTATTAATAATAACGGGCACCACCCTGAGAACAGGGACCAATATACATATACAGCCATTATCACAATACACATGCACAAAGTAATCACAGACAGCTGCTCTTTAAAATATAACAGAGTTTATTTCGTTCTAATACTAATGATCTAGTCAACTAATATCTACACTAACAACAACTATACATTTATGAGCACGCTATCTAAAATCAACAGACGATTGAAAAAGGGGGG